CCGTAGTCTTAATTTCTTATGACTTATATTATCAACCCTTTCAATCTTGTGGATTCCAAAGATATATATAGTCTGTATATAAAGTCTTAAAAATATTTTAATCAGTTTAAATTTCATTATTTTCCAGGGGAGCTTATCTAATAAATCGTAAGCTCATGATGGTCATCAATGAACAGGCTTTGAAAGAAAAGAAATCGCTAGAAAAGGTTAGAGAAAAATTGGAACGCATCGCTGCTAGACAACAGGCCTTTGGAAAGAACATTTCAAACATTACCGAACATTACATATGTGAGTGCTTTTTTTTTTCTTAGCATAATTAAATTGCAAAGCCCTCCAATTGGAATACTTTATTTAGCATTTTATCGTCTAAAACTCATTCGGCTTAAATATCAGGGATTTTCATATAGATATCGTGATTTTAATTGCATCCTTTATATAATATATTATTTTATATCAATTGATTTATTATATAAAATGTTTACAATGTATTCGTCCCCTTAATTATCCCAAGTTTCTCCAACACAGGTGAGTTTACCGCTTCCCATTTTAGTATGAAAATGCTCCTGATACAACGCCTTTTTAATTTTAGATGATCTATTATCTTTCCTTTTATATACTAATATATCTTAGATGGAAATATTGTATTTTTTTCGTGATTTTCATCTTATTATATGTATACTCTTTTATTTTATTAAATATTCTCACTACACAAGTAATCAGCCTTAGGAAAATTCTAACCTATCATCTTTGTTTACGGCTTTATTCTAACTTTTCGTGCAAATGCTAAATTATAAATTTTTTACTCTATGCTTTAAAAATAATTTGTTTCATTTAAACATTTATAATACCACTGTTATTACTTTTGCAAATTTTCTTTATCTTTACTTTTTTTTATATTTTTGATAATACCACGAATGCAACCGACCTTTGCTCCAATTAACTTTCATTACACCAGATTCTCATTTTATGACCACTATATTATATTACTGCAAAACTCGGTATAGTTGCTAATTTTATTGTGTTAATATCTGTTTGTCCATTACTTTAGTGCTCCGATCTGGTGATTATTACATGTTTGAGGGTGATCCAGAAGAGGACGATGACAATGCTGTGCAATTGCGTGGTTCTGGAAGTTTATTTAGGAAAGCCAAAGGCCTAGAATCTACTATTTCTAGTCGGCCCTATTGCCAGCCATCTTCACTTGACGAGCCTCAGCCTCGTCACCAGAGCATCTCCCAGCATCACCGTCCTAATACTTCAATTGCTGTTTCAGTGAGGTCTGGTGCAAACTCCTTAAAGAATAAACGTCTTTCGGCCAAGTCAACTCCGAATACTAATTTAATGCCTGTCACATCTCTACATCACGATATCAACGCATTGCCTTTCTCAGCTACACGCAAGCCGGCTTTAGTTAATCTGCATATGACTGCACAGCAGTTACCACTAACAGAACAACAGAAACAGCAACATGCTTTGAAAACTTCTCGATCCGAAGTTGGCGCCATTCGCTTGAGCCAAATGCTACCTATTACTACATCTCAAAAGGAAAGAAAATCTAGGCCTATTGGGCCCACTCGGGTAAACACATTATCTATTTTCACTCTCCCTTTTGCTCCTTCCTTTATTTTTCGTCGTCTTTGAACTCTTGATATAAAATTATTGCATCCTAGATTTTTATTAACTATCTTGGGTTGAGGATACGAAAACCAATATGATGCAGTCTTTGGAATGGTCACAGTTTCCTTTCAATGTATAAAAGTTGGTTGATCCCGTGCTCTCAGGGAGACTTAGTTAGACGCACCTCGTGCAAAGTCCTCTGCTATAGTGATTATCAGAATTGCCTACGTTGGACGGTAGCTTGGTACATTCTCATACTTTTCGCTGGCATCTTTGTCTGCATCATTACTGAGTCTTGCGAGGAGAAAGGGGGTGGGGAAGTTTTGGAAACAAAGCGAAGACGTTTTCACTGCATGTAGTCTGTTCGAAGAAGCAACTATAACTTTGGAACTATCGACAGCAA